ACAGACTGTCAGTTTCCAGTGCAACGTCACTCTCAGCTGGGTGAATCCCAGATCCTTTCATACAAACCGCAACCACTGGACTATTTCATCAAATGCTGTGCGCCCTCCACAATGGCACAAACCACTGATATACCTGGTGGCATGCAGAGCAGACATTGCTTTTGATGAAGCAGTCCGGTGGTTACTGTCTGCATGATGGGTGGGGTGTTTCCACACAAGTGAAGAAGGCCCACACCGGGCAGTTTGCATCCTTACACACCTCACTACCCACTCGACTACTTGTGTGCAAGAGCCCAGTTCCTTGGGCCAGCCACTAACGCAAACAGCTTGAGAACCATCTGAAGGATCTCATCCTGCTGGGAAAAAAAAATAACCCCCTCAAAGACAAATCTTACTGTGTTATTAACAGCTTGCCCATGGAAAAAAAAAAAGGTACTGATAGCATTGACAGAGGAAGCAAAGAAGGGCAAAGAACAGACCTTGACAGCACAGGGCTCTCCCACTCTCATAGGCAAACAGCAACCACCATAAAACAATAGTTTCTTGGGTAGATGAATAAGGTGTGCAGTGCTGAAGGCTGGCACATGAAACTAGAGAAAAAAGTTTACATTGCACTGTAGACCTGGGTACTACTTTAAAAGCAGTTTAAATAGCTGCTTTACTATTTCAGGACGACTATGAGAAAAGCAAAGCTTCATTTTCTGAAAAGAGATGAAAGAGAAGGACAGCCAGAGAGGGCAAGAGAGAGACCAGACTCCTTCAGCTCAAGTAAATGGGCCAATGTGATTGGTGCTAAGGCGATCTCACAGGTGATGGTAAGTTTTGTGTGTTTTCCTGTACGTGTGTGGAAAAGAATGCTCCTGCCTCACTGAAGCCTTTAAAGGACCTCTAGGAGAAAAGTGATTCTCAGACGTCTGGAGGCCTGCACGGTGACCAAGAGGCGAGATGCAGTACCACAGATAACAACTGAGGGCTGCTTTCTGCTTGGCCTTTGGAGGGTTGTGGCATTCAGCAGCAAGAGAGATTGGACGTGTAGAGCCTGCTCAGTGCTTGTATGTTGGAGACAGAGGTGTTGCACTCTCCCAGTGGGAGCTGTATATGCTTGCTCCCTCTTGCCCATTAAATGTCTTTACCTGAATTAGATAAGAATAATGAAAGACTGAAGCTGCCTTCTTGCTGTGAAGAGCCAATTTTGAATCAGAGTTGAACAGGGGAGAAAAGCTTTTCATGCTGAACTCCCCCATGTCCCTGTTCCAAAGTGCCAAACCTATGCTAGCAGGAGAAATTCCAGCATACAGAACAACCTGGCTTGCGGAAGTGCCAGGATGCAGCAGTGCGAATAGTCTGAGCTGGCTGTTACTCTAAAGGAGCTGAGGTTACTTTAAAGGAGCCAGAAGCAGAGAGAGTGGTTCTAGATATCACTCGATACTGAATAGATGATGACACTGCTTCTGTTTTGGCAAGGATGGCTGTAGAAGGGTCAAAAAGTTCTAGTCAGAGACGACAGATTTTCCTCAGGCAGTCTGCATCTTTAGCCACGATGGAGGTGAGGAAAAGCATCTGCATCATCTCTTACATCAGTCTTCGGCTTTTTTCAGGACTGTTGTCCAGAAAAAGTGTCAGTGCTGAAGGACTGAGTTCTACATAACACTAACTTCTACAGCTGATAAGGAATCCTTGGACAGAGGAGCCTCAGCGTATGCTAAATGGGGAAATAAGGGCACCTGATCTCAGTCTCCCATAAGGTGTTTCTGAGGAACAGGGTGTCTTTCTCACGCACACTGTCCAGCAATTTGCAAGATAACAGTCACTGAAAACACTGCAGGCTGGCCTTGGAGCACCATAGTTGGTACACTGGGATCCAGAGAGGGTTTTAGAACCAGTGTCAAAAAAACAATTGCAGAGCTTGGACTCCATCTTTTTACCTTGGGGGGACTCAGTGTAAATCAGCAGATGGTTGACCAGTCAGGCTCAGAATCCTTACTGAAGTAAAAGAAAACATTTGGCATCCAAGCCACTACATTTGGATGCAGCTATTGCACAGAAATGAAGGGTAGCCTTTGATGAACTACGAAAATTCTTTAAGTGTTCAACCGAAAAGACAACTAAAGAGGATACAAAATTATTCAGGTTATGTGAATATCTCAGCTATCTCTATTCTACTGATGTTCTACCCTACTTGACAAACAGGGAAACAACAGGAAAAAAATCAGCCAACCACTTTACTTACTGCTCAATGATAAATGGAGTAAAAGAACAGAGTATCAAAATTTAATATCTATAGGACCTACTTTACTATACTTGATTCACTTTATGGAACTAATCCCTTATGTCATATCTTACTATAATAATTTCATGAAATAGCTTCAGTCTGATCACACTACTGCACCATTTGTACATACATTGAGAACTTTCAGTTCTTACATGAATACTCAAACAAAATCACCAATATAAAATGATGTATCAGCTAAGATTTATATTTAAGATAACGCCGTAATGCTGCTTCAGTATATAGAGAAGTGAATTACAATGAATTGCATGTGAGTCTTGGAACCAATCCAACACTTCTTTTTATGAAAGCTAGAAAACTTGAAAAATAATGTAAAAAATATGAACAAGAATTCTAAAACTGACATTGTTCCCACTTACTTTTTTATTATCCTTGTTTATATGAGACATGAAAAAACCTTCAGCACTTCCTTACAGCTTCCTTTTAGGTAGACTATGTACATGCCTCACCAAAATCTATTAATATCTAAAGCAGTGTGGATTAAAAAAAAAGAAGCTCATGGATAAAGCACAATAGCTTCAACTACCTTCAACGGTCTAGAGGTCTCCTCTACCTGCCTGAAACATAGATTTGTGTACTATATGAACATAAACAGATGGAATTGCTGCAGCAGGGAATAAAACAGTTTGACTAGCATTTCACTCTGAAAGAAGTGGATTCTCCTTGCAATCTGCAGGAGAGTCTTGTGAGGGATTAATATCTACAAAGAATAACATATCTACTGTAAATGACTTGCTATCGCCTCTAAGTTTATTATGATTTTGTCACACCTAAACACCCACAACCACACATCCCACTCCTTTTGCCCCCAAGAAAACAGAGTAAGGGGAGGCAGGGGAAGCACTCAAAGGGATTTAAAAAAAAGCCAAGCAAACAAAAAAAAAAAACACCACCAAAAAAACCCCAAACCAACAAAAAACCAAAAAACACACAGAGAAAGGTATAAGATTTTATCTGCATTAGATTTTCTTCCTCTAAAAATTCCACCTGATACTCTAATGATACACAACTTCCTTAGTACCACACTAGACATAACTTTGTTGTATGAATGAAATGGCAAATACGGTAATTCTACACAACCTTAACATAAAGCTCTATGTGTAGTTAAGACATCGTAAGTTAAGGCATCAATTTATAGTCATGTTCTCAACAAGCTTACTTAAAGGCATGGAGAAAAAAACATCTAAATTAAAACAAAGCTTTAATTTATTAATACTTAGCCCTCACGGTCACCTGACTTTGCTGGTCCATCCACTGAAAGATGCTAAATAGCACAATCCAATGATGGCAAAAGTCTATGTTGAACAGGTGGTCTTTCAAAAAATCAACTACTCTAAATTAACTACCTTGTCCTATTTAATTTTATTTACACTTTTCTATCATTTTCACAGTGCAAATTGTAACAAGATACCCCTTGTAAGAAGAATCAGTGCACAAAACACTCTTGAATGTTAAATGATGAACCCAAGCCTGCATAAGAACAACACTCTGAAACTTGGTGAAATTCACCTGAGATTGATCACAATCTTAAAATAGTGGATTCTCAGTTTTTTCTGAAAACTTTTCTGTTCTTCTCTTGTTAATTAGAATGCAACAGAATTCCATGACACATACAATACATGGCATTCATTTCACCAATATCAATGAAGAAAGCAGTAAATTGCAAGATTAAAAAAAAATCCAGGTTCTGAGCTCATGATTTAACCAACTTATCCTAATTTGAAGAACAGACATTTATTTACATGATCCTGAGGAACGCACAAATCTTTTGTCTTACAGAGACATAGAAACAATTTACTGAGGGAGTGTATGGGGGGAAATCCCAATTTGTTGTTCCAACCATCAGTAAGTAGTCAATTACTGCCTCCTTAACTGCAGTCGTACTAGTCCAGGAAGATGATAAACTTTTTAGTAATCAATCAAGTAGTAAAGTCACACTTATTTCATTAACAGTTTCCATACTGAGTGTAAAAAAGCAGTGACCTAAACACGGCACTCTTCTGACTTTCTTCCAATGACACTAACTATATTTCTGCAAGAATAAACCCCAATGAAAGTTTGAGGACCTTTCACCAGAACCTCAGTGACTGAGTCTATTCCTTTAACCATACTTTTCTCATCACCAATAAAGCAAACGCAAAACCAAAACCCCAACTGAAAACAATGCTCCCCCCAATATCCAACAGCAGCCCCTTTCAGTCCCCAAAGCCCTGCCAGAATTTACAGCTGAGTTTTTACATCCATTTTAAACGTTATGATTCAAGCTTGAGTGCATTGCTTCTCAGATCTGAAACTTTCACATTATACAGCTATGTAAAAATTACTGAATACCAAGCTGAATGAAAACAAGCCCACTTTGCCACTTGTTTTCCAAAAAGAAAGTAAAGGTTTTTGTAAACAGGCTATAGACTATCAATAGCAACAATTCACAAAAACCTGTTGAGTCATACTGCTCCATCCCCCTTACTAAATCGTATTATAGGGAGCTAAAATTCTCCTTGAAGTGATTTCCTTTTCAAGCAACTGCTGTGGCTGCAACAGGTGTGTTACAGTAAGTTAGATATGTGACCCAGGGCAGTATGTCTTCAAACATCGTATCTATAATAAAAATAATTAAATTATCATACTCTCACACTGAACTGAAGTTGAAATATTCACCTACCAATAAAACATCACACAATACTGCTACTGTTAATTTATTCCAACTTACCATTGAAAGGCATTGTAATGGAAGTAGACCAAACCAAGGCCATATAAAAAGGCAGCATTCTGTAAAGGAAAGAAACAGTGTTTAAAACCCAGATAAGACAACCATATGCTGTAAGATTGAGTTTCCAGTATTTTATTCATCCTTTGACATCCTATTTCCATTATAAGATACACATATTTAAATTTCACCTTGAACAGGAGGAACCGAAAAGAAGGATTGAAAAGATAGGAAGACCTTTTAAGAAAAAAATGATTCTCTGCAAAATGTTTTTTGAGAAATAGTAACAACAATAATATTGCAGTACTGATGTATTCAGAGAAACTGATGTGCTTTGTTCTACTTGTACAACAGCAGGGAAGGAAATGATGGAGTAGAGGTCTTTGGCAATTTAATATAATAAAAAATGTTTTATGACTGAAACAATTTCATCGTTGTAATAATTTATACTAACATAAAAGTAAACAAAGCTACACACTCTAATTTCAGTGTCTAAAGTAGAACATTAATTATGTGAATCTGAAAATATGCTTAAGGAAATTTCACTTTTCGGAATACCAAAAATACAGACCGTCGGCTTCAAACCTAAGACAACCATGTTTCTGCACTGTTAATCAAGCTTCTATTTTCTATTTCCCTACCTTGAAGAAGGGGGAAAAAAAAATAAAGAAAAAAAGAAAAAAAAAGATTCTCCTTCTGGAAACGCATTTCCCCTCCATTTTCTTTTCACAGAAAAGTATTATTTGCTTCTAAAGTGATATCGCTAAGGAGGTTTAGTGAATGTTTAACTATCCAATTCTGCAAATAGCTATTACATATTTTCTAAATTAGGAAAAATAAAGAAACTGCTTTTTCTTTTTAGAAGTTATGCCACAGCACAGTTGTTTTCTATTTAGCAGAACTATTCCATTCTTTACGGGAGACAACATGCACATGCTACCTATGACAAATTTTTCAGCTTTTCTTATGCATTACTCTGCTTTTGAGAGACTGGGAATACATCCCAAAGAACACAAAGCTCTGACACATGGACAAGAGATGGAATTTCCATTGTCAAAGTCTGTCATTCAAGACAATCCCTCTTCCACTTGCACGCTCTTCTTCAGCAAGTCAAATTTCTATGGAATTCCATGAAAGGAATTCTAGTTATGCCTTAAACCCAATCAAAATATAAAAGGTGTAACCAAGTTTTTCCTAAAAATAACTGGTAAGCAGAACGCTATTCAAAGAGCAGCACTCATCAGAAGCAGGAGCCAATATTACCATTTCATTATAACTTATTTGCACCTTCTAAATGCAAATTAAAACCAAGGGGAAT